GTAAGTAGTAACGTAGTACGTAGTAGTACGTACGTACGTACGTAGTACGTAGTACGTACGTAGTAGTAGTAGTAGTAGTACGTAGTAGTAGTAGTAGTAGAGTAGTAGTAGTAGTAGTAGTAGTAGTAGTAGTAGTAGAGAGAGAGAGAGAGAGAGAGAGAGAGAGAGAGAGAGAGAGAGAGAGAAGTGCCTGAAGGGGCAGAGGAGATGTCTCTGAAGACTGCAGCAGCTACCGCTTTGCTTGTGGCCATTCATAGTTGTCGAAAGTGGAGGAAATCGAAGCGCAAAAAGGGGGAGGTCATGTTTGGTTGGCTTATGTGAGGTCTGGTTCAATCGCATCGCGTGGAGGGAGCGCGTGCAGGGGGATACGTTAGGGTTTAAGGTTCGTTCCGTTACGTATTTTGTACAAAATCCATTTTGAACAGGAAAAGGTTTATATAAAAACACAGAGTTGGACCTCTGTCCACCTCTATATATTGATAATATTAAAACAAGAACCCCATACCATAACATCATAAATTTCCCGATAAATTTTTCATAGCAGAAGAACAATGAAAGACAAAAGAATATGATCTTTAGAACAGCTACACAGCACACCATATCAGTGCACGAACAGTCATATAACGCTGCAAGAAACCCCATTCAAAACTATAAACCCTTCGTGATCTAACTTTCTAAACCAACAAGTTCTCCCCATATAACAATAATAATGGCCATGTCAATATATCATAGTCTAAAGCTCAGAAGCGTACATCATGGCTAATCTACTGACTGAAGAAACAGTAATCAAATGCACCAATATTCTATTAATAATGCATCAATAAGAATCAAGCAATTCAACCAAAACTAGCAATAACGGATTGCAGATGCAGAATAATAAACCATTACAAATTTCTCACTCAAAATTGAAGCAATTCAACAAAATAATTTCAAATAAGAACTTGTGGGGACAGCATTTGAACCAGTGGTAACCTTAAATGCCTCAAACAACACTAGTTCTCTTACTGCTTATTGCTCATATCCTAGAAACAGCATCCATCCCTTTTGAAATATTTGTTTTTTTCTAAAACACCACCTTATCAACTCGCTACAAGCTTTAAATTCCAAACAAAAACAAACACGAAATCTAACATCTACAAAATAAAAAATTGTTCGAGCTACCAGGTGGCTTCCTCAACCAGAAACAAACATCAAGAGAACTAGGAGAAACTCACCCTTTGTTCCAGCTACCAGGTTGCGTCCTCAACCAGAAGAAGAACAGTTAGAGAGGGCTTTCAGGAGTTGAGGAGTTTGGCAGAACAGTAATGACGGAGGTGTGAGAGAGAGAGTAACGTGAGGGGAGAGAGATCTCAGAGCAGAGAGAGAAGTTTAGGGTTTAGAGAAGAGCGAGAGTGCGGGGAAGCTAGCATCTATTATGAATACGAGTTTATTCGTACTCTTAAAATAATAAGTAAAATCTGCTGCTTTCATATTGGTGTTTGTAGAAGGCATCAAGTTTACATAATCAAAATATAAACATTTAAATCTTACTAAAACACGTACTTCTTGGGGCATCTACCCTCTTTTACTTAAAAAATGAGGAAAAGAAAAACATGCAAACACATTCTTTGTGGCCCTTTAATAAGATGCTCAAAATTTAGGCATATAAATTGTCCAATTTTTCGACAATCAAAATAACAAATTCATTTTAGGACCACAAATTTTTAGGTTATAACTAGTTTAATCCATAGACTAACTCAATAAGTAAACAAAGGTGGTCCAAAGCAGTGGTTTAAAAAATAGATTGGTGTCCCAGATCAGGTATCTCAAAAACCCATCCGGATAAGTGAATCTGTAGTTCGGATCCAGAATCGGTCGGATTCGATAAAAAGATAAAATCCAAAAAAATTGTTAAAAATCATTATAAATATTGATTTTTAAGAATCCAATAAAAAATCGGGTAATACATTAATAGCTTTCATTTTTTTCATCAATATGTGAATATTGAGATGTTCTTTCCTTGTATGAACTTATATTAACCATTAAATTTACACCACACAAAAGCAAAATCATAGATGAAGTATATAATCATACATGGATTACAATAAAGAATTAATTAAATTGATGAAAAAATGGCCACCAAAATTTCGAATTGGCGGAAAACTCTAATCCACTAAAAAAGAACCCAAATTATTACAACCTAACTAACTATAATATTATATACTGAAATTGAAATTGTTGGTTTACATTTTATAATTATTTTACCATACAAATAATAACAAATCCAAAATATCTTATAATATCTTATAATGTAAAATATATTATTGACAGTTGTAAGAAGAAATAGTACATTACATAATTTATAATGTAAAATATTAATAAATAAAATACAATATTTGGTTGTCAATTTAGAACTTATTAGAATGCGTACCAATTTTCGAAATACGTATCAATTTTCGAACACTTTAATTTTTCAAAAATCTAATTTTTTAGGTTTCTAGAATAAAATTAGTGGAAGAGATTGTTAGTAGAGAGTGAGAGAGAGATTTCAAATGGCCTCATTGTTTGAACCCTATCTTTAAACTAATATTCTTAAATTTATGTTAAAGACCACAATGTTATAAAAATAAAAAATATAATTAAACTATTTATTCCTAAGTACAGAAAAAAAAAAAAGATCTAACAATAGGCATTCATAAATGAGAGAGATAAAAAGAGCTAGCATGCTTCAAACCTATATTGTATTACCTCCATATATTTAATTTAAGCTTACGATAATCGCAACTCAAATGCGTGCTTGAAAAGCATAATACTTGTTATATTACCTTTTATTTATTTTTTGACAAGAAATACTTGTTGTATTATACTTTTTTTTTTTACAAATATTTATTTTTTGACAAGATATACTTGTCGTATTACCTTTTTTTTTTGACAAATGTTTATTTTTTGACAATAAATACTTGTTGTATTACCTTTTATTTGTTTTTTTGACAAAAACAATAAGAAGACTTGTTGTATAATATTTATGTTTTGACAAGAAGTACTTGTTGTATTACATTTTATTTTATTTTTTTGACAATAAATACTTATTATATTATCTTTTATATTATTTTTTGACAAAAAACACTTGTTGTATTACCTTTTATTTATTTTTGACAAAAAAAATAAGAAAATTTTATTTATTTTTAACAAAAAGAATAAGAAAATGATGCTACCAAGGTTCGAACTAGGGATGTTTAAATTAAAAGAAATGATGCTTCCAAGGTTCGAACTAGGGATCCTTAAATTAAAAGATCGACATGATAACCAACTAACCAAAGCACCACTTTTTGTATTATTTTTTATAATAAAGCCTATATTGTATTACCTTTTCAAGCCTATATTGTATACCATGCTCAAATCCCACATTGAAAAGATGAAAGAAGTTTAATGTACATAAAATCTTCCTCAGTACCATCTTTGTCATGTGCTTGAAAAGCATGAGTGTGCACGTGGCCATACTTGTATAATGCCATTATTGCTCCAAATTTTTTAAAAAATTATAAAAATACCCAAAATGCCCGCCCCTCAGTTTGATGATGTCATAATACTGATTTTCTTGCAGACTAGACTCAGCGGTTCACTGTAGCAGGATGCCAAAGGCGGCACGTACTAATTTTCTTACAGACTGGACTAGACGGTTCACTGTAGCAGGATGCCGAAGGCGGTACTGATTTTCTTGCAACTGATTTTATAAAATACCCAAAATGCCCGGCCCTCAGTTTGATGATGTCATAAATACTGATTTTCTTGCAGACTCGACTCGGCGGTTCACTATAGCAGGATGCCAAAGGCGATACATACTGATTTTCTTGCAGACTCGACTCGGCGGTTTATTGTAACAGGATGTCGAAGGCGAAACGTACTGATTTTCTTGCAGACTCGACTCGGCGGTTCATTGTAGCAAGATGCCAAAGGCGGTATGTACTGATTTTCTTGCAGACTCAACTCGACGGTTCACTGTAGCAGGATGCTGAAGGCGGTACTGATTTTCTTGCAGACTCAAACTTGGCGGTTCACTATAGCAAGATGCCGAAGGCGACAAGGTAGCCTCGGGGGGTTCACTGTAGCAGGATGCCGAAGGCGGTGCTAGTGACTGGAGTGAAGTCATAACAACGTGGTGCGGCTGGATCACTTTCTCCCTAATGCTTGTTGGGTATTTTGGTTTGACACCGCTTCACACCCCAAAAGGAGAAAGCCACGTCTGAGCTAAGCTTGGAGATGAAAATCTTCTTTTGTTTCTCGACGATATTCAGCCAAGGCTGCTCCTGTATAAGGAATGAGGTATTGTAATGTAGCAGGTGAATCCATTGTTTCAGCTACGACAACAGTAGTAGCTGAAAAGTAGTGTATTCCATTGCTCCTTGTTACTGGAAAGTAGTCACTACATAACCCACAGAAGATGTTTTTTGACCAATAGCTACATAAACACATGTTACATTTTACCCCTTTTTATTCAGAATAGTATCTGTAGCTATAGTTGTTTTATCTGTGTTTTTCTAATATATGTTTTGAATCTCCAATCAACAACGTGGAGATCTATCGGGCATACACGAACGCATACTTCACAAGCAATGCATTTATCGAACTCAAAGTGGATTTGCCCTTGGAAATGCTCTGATGTGATCAATTTTCAACAGGAATGAGAATAAAAAAGGGATCTTGGTATATTATCCAATAAAAAATATATATATGCAATTAGGGACTCGAGGCAGGGAAGAGAACAAATGGTGGGATCAAGAAGATCTTAGACCAGATACTAAATACCCAGAGTATTTTGGATCAGATGTAAAAAGTCAAAAAGATGTTGACCCTTGTTTTCTTTAAACAGGATTTGGCTCAGGATTGCCCATTTATCATTTCAGGGTTTCTCTGAATTTAGAAACTACCACTTAGTAGGTTTCCATACCAAGGCTCAATTTAATTAAGTCCATAGCGTCTACCAATTTCGCCATATCCCCTTTGAGTAAGATCGGGGTGTCATTGTAATTCTATTTAAGCCTTTTCATTCCTCTTAGTCTATAAGAGAATGGATGGGTCGTTTCATGTACAAATGCTTGTACATGGTCTTTTGTAAGCATCAATCAGTTCTAGCGGGTAGCTTGAGTCGTTTCTAGTAGTTACAATGGAATGAGAGTAATTGTCCACGTGTCTAGTTGATGAAGAGACATGATCATTACATCAAGTAGGTTCTATAATATTTATCTCATCTTGTACAACATCATATTTTATCTTAGTACACTATTCTAGAAATATTTAATGCTTTGTTAAGGAGTGACTTGATAGAAAGGTTATGTTCATCTTGCCCCAGTGGCAAGTGTAAAATTGTTTCATCCTGAACGTGTTACATCCCTTTGGTCCTCATGATTTTGGAGAAGAATCAATGGGTATTTCTATCAATAATACACTTTTAGATCAAACACGAAATGGAGGCTAATGTCGTACATCTTATGCATTGGAGGAGATAAATAAATATTTAGTAGAGGTATACTAACTCGTGTGAGTGTGAGTAGGAGCACGACATAAGAAGTTATGTACTCACTGAAGAATTTATGAAGGATCAATCGAAGGTCAATGATATAGAATAAGGGGGTCATTCACATGTTATCCCTCGCTAGTGACTGCTAAAGCATTGAACTTATATTTGTATGAGTTGAACTCCTGGTTTTAATTTGATTGTTATAATGCTAATAATACTAATACTAGTTTATTGATCATTAAAAAAATTACTAATTTATAAAAATAACACTAGCTCATATCATTTTAGAATCTATTTTCAAGTTGTTTTATCAATATCCCACATTGTAAGTACGACTTTATTTATTTATTGTGTAAATTTTATTAAAATATGATTGTAAATTTATGCTTCTAAATTCTATATTTTTGTCCACACTAATTATTATAAATTAGATTTATTAATTTATTTATATTATATATTATATATTATATTATTTTTTTGTTATAATTGTAAATTAGATTTTTTAAACTAGATGATGTTATAAAACACATTTCAAATTATTATTGTTTCTATAGTAAAATGATTATAAAATGCAAACCAAAAACTTTAATTTCAATATAATATTATAGTCAGTTAGGTTGTGATAATTTTGAACGAGTAAAGAGAATTAATAAATGTTTGATGTGATACTAATTTCACTTTATATGGGAAATTATTATTTTTATCTTATAGTATGGAAGTGTTTTTTAATATTTTTAAATTATTTTGTTGTAATATTATTACATTATATTATCATTAATAATTATATAGACATCCATACATGAAAATAACGTTTCAGTATTCACTTGTATTTTACAAAGTAATGAAAATACATAATGCACCACTCCTAATTCCTTTAGAAACTAAAAGAACACTATTTTTAGAGATTTATAATGATTTTTTTTAAAAATTTGGGACAAATTTGTCGATTTGGTCGATTCTCTGATCTAACACATCGATGCACCGATATGACATGGGTATAGGCGTGGACATTCACCGATCAGTTTTTTTAATCCTTGGCTGGAACGAA